TTGCTGCCTGACCTCCTGGAATAGTAGATAATTAACTCTTTAGAAATAAAGTTAGTGTTTTGCTAGACGAAAAGCTCTTCCTGAAAGTGAAGTGAACAGATACGTACAAAGATTATTAGAAAATGTATGCAACCATTTTGACCCCTGTGACAAAGCTGACAAGCCAGATCAGAAAAGAAATTTTCCTGTATGAAGTCTGGCTCAAAAAGGAATAACTTCTCTCATAGTTCGCTAATACGTCTCACACTCAAGAAGAAATAAAAAATATGGAGAAGAATGTATTCTTCCATTACCAAACAAGCACCATCCTTTGATTAAAAAATTTAACACAGATAACACCACTGATTCTAAATAAGTTTTTATCTACCCCCTCCAACATACATACCAAATACCTGGTAGTCTTGTATCAAAAAGCACCTTTATAGCTTCATATAGATTTTTATCCGGGTTTGTTTATCCAAGAGAAGAAGTATTAGACATCTCACATGATCCCATGAGACTTACAGTGTGGGTCACGCACAGTTCATTCAGACAAGCAGTTGATCTCCAAGAGCTTTACCAATCCACACATCAATGCCGAGCATTTTCAGTTTTACGTCACCAAGGTATAAAATGTATAGCAGCGTACTCAATCGTAGAGCAGTAGAGATGTTCAGAGTAATACTCAAATCACTGTGCTAACTAGATGTAATGAGAAACTACTGGAGGGAGGGAGGGAGGAAGGGAGGGATCATGGAAATGTTAGGTCAGTATCAGGGAGATGAAGTTGCTAATCTAATTCACAACCCTGCACAGTAATATAAAAACTGAGAGAATCATCGAATGTGTCTCTCATTGGGGAGGCGCCTCTGACTGTCAGAACAGAAAGAACTCCCTCTATATCCATAAGACTGAATGGAGGTATATGGTCTTTCTTTCTACATCTGAATTAGAGATTAGCTGTTTAAAGAGAGGAAGAATTAAGACTAGGCATATAATAAGAATTAAGTCTTTTCCTCCTATAGCAAAACTCTGTGCTGATTGCCATTGCACTGAGTAAAAGTGGAAATGGTGGAAAAAAGTAAATAACAAAAGGTGGGGAAAAAAATCAGGAAGGAAAAGGAAAACCAATAAATACATTTAAATATTAAAAGATTTGTAACACAACTGTTTCATCACAAAACAGTATATTGGGTTCAGAATTATTGAATGTCAACAGAGCATGCAAATGATTGTGGTAAACATAGGGCCAACACGAAGTACACTGGCAAAAAGTATTTCTCAGTGTGCTATGCCTAACAGGACAACCCTACAGCATCAAGGACAACTGTGTGAAGAAGATGGATTATCTGTACCCTCTGCCTCTCAGTGTGCTACTTCCCTGACCACAACATGCACATAACAGTAGAGCTTCAACAAGGTTTATGTGCAAAACCCAAGGAAGTAGTCTTTATGAAAGAAATAATAGATGCCAGCTTTCTTGGTGTGAGATAGATCCAGATATCCTTGAAGTATTTAAATGAACCTAAAGACCCCTTTTCAAAGGGATCAAATCTAGCACCCAAGGGCAAAGAAGTTCTAATCTTACAGAAAATCAATGCAGCATAAATTCCTGTACTGCTTAGCAACCAGGAAATCGTATACAGTGTGAAACCCTGGTACATAAACACTGGAAGTATATATGCTCTGTATTTGTTTGCCATATTTGGATAGGGAACTGATTTGCTCTGTGCAGAGCAATGTGTTAGAATGCAAAGAACTCAGTGCCTTTTCTCTTCCTCCACCTTCCGCTAAGCATTTCCTGCCATCACCACACTTCTGAAGCATGATATGAGCTGAGTATTCCTTTCACTCTCAAAGAATGGCATCTTTAAAAGATTTGCATGAAAATAAACCCCCTTGAGTTCAGTCATGCTGCAGTGCCTTAGTCCTGCAGGAAACTCTTTTTTCTATTGTTGCCTCAGAGAGTACAGCCTGTCCCCACTGTGAACATTTTGGTCTGTAGGTGGGTGGGGCATCTTGGAAGTATTGTTCTCCTGGGGACACACTGACAAGCACAAACACAGTCTGGGGTCTATGCTACTTAGAGCTCTTGAAAAAGATATCAAAACATCACTCATTGTCTTTCTGGCCAAGAAATATATGTTGGAGCCACATTGCTAGCAGCCTTTCCCCTGAAATCAAAACAGGGCTTACAGTGACATAGGCCTTGCTTGTACTGTCTCTGCATCAGTGAGATTTCAGCAGCCCAAGAGAGTAATACTGACTGAAGATCTTTCAAATACTCGTAGTAGTTTGCATGGGTTTTGTCTTCCTGATGGTTAATCTCAGCTTCTTTCTCTAAAGGCTGGTGACATCATAGCCAACATCCCTCACCTCTTGCTAGAATACCTCATAAACACAGACTCAGGGTAAACTCCTTGTTTAAACTCTGGGGTCTTAGGGGTAGGGACTGACAATTTATGATCTGGATATGAAGAGCCTACTATGAAACAAGGCCCTGATCTGGGACCTCTGGGCAATGCTGCAAGTCAAGCACTAATTACAGTGGTGTCATCTTGTTATCTGAGCAAATGACTGTAACGCCTTCATTTTCCTTCTGGCATTTCTTCCACTTACCTTTATTGCCTCAACTTAGCTTTATGTCCTCATGTAAACATAGATTTTACTCCTCATTTGCTTATCTTATAACTTTCAAAAGTTATATTTGCATGTAGCAAATGGTCATTAAAACATTCCAGAGAAAAAGGAAAAAAACTTAAGTTTCTCAGAAAAGTGTACGTGCACTAGTTCTAATGAAAAAAGAAGCAGCAGATTAAAGGTCTACATTTTTGTATGCCCCTTTCTGGTCCCTCTTTAAAGGTAATTAAACTAATAAAAGGTAGTGAGCCACAAGTTCCAACTCCCCAACTACTACCCTAAACGTAGTGAAGGATTTTAAGCTCACTTCAAGATTTCAGATGAGTTCACCAAGATACAATTATAATAAAGAAGAATTATTATGTAGCTCTTCAGTTATACTGCAAAACCGTTTTACTAAGTGCATAAGCAAAGTTAAAATCTCAACATTCAATATTAGAGCTAACATTAATTATGCAGAAATTTAAATACTCGAACATAATGGCAACACATCTTACAAATTATGTAGTTTGCTTTGTTCTTGACCTCCTCCCCCCATATTTCTGTGCTCACACAGCACCTTCTTATTGCCACAACTACTTTCTGCCATTAAAAGCATTAATTTATTTTTGGGGGTGGAAGGATGAAATGAGAAGAAAATGCTAGATGTTCACAGTAATAGTTCTTTTGGTATTTGAATTTTTATTGCCTGTTTAAAGCTTTGGATTCTGAAGTTCTTTTCACAATGAATAAAATGTCACATTAGCAAACAGTGAGACTGATGAAATTAGTGTGAAGATATTATAAATATCCAAAAGATATCCAAAAGAAACAGTTTCACCATTGAACACAATGGAACTGCGCTTTGTGATGTAATGCTTATTCAGACAAGTGATGGCAGTAGCGAAACTTACATCTTAAGACTAATAAATTTACAGTTCTATGTAAATGCAATATCATAAAACAGTTCATGTCCACCTTTCCAGATCTTCTAAACAAAAAATGGCTACATGAGAAGTACATCAAAGTTTTACTGTTTTCAGACATATTAGCAAAACACGCCGTTTAATCTGTAATCCACAATATAATAATTCTAAAAATACTACCCAATTTTTTAAACATTGACTGTTAGAGTCTTTCTGATTTATATTCTTTATACAATGCTAAATTAATATTTTCACACAATCCCAACAAATACAATCCCCCATGAAAAAATTTCAGTATACTAAATGTGAAAACCAAATGCCAAACCCAAAGAAGGGACATTTTTACAAGACTTTTTTAAGAGTTCAGTTATATTCCCCCTAGAAGAGATTTTTCCCTTGCATTCCCTTAAATACAAACTAAATTTCAGCAAAAAGCATCAGCCAAAATGGGGAAGAGATTACAAGTGATTTTTGAGTTTCTTATTGAGGCAAAATTTCAGTGACCTGTTTCTGTTCAGCTTTAGCTAGAAGGTCTCAGCAACTGTACATCCTACAGAGCCCAAGCAGATTTACTCTACTCCAAGAATATTTACTCTCAAATAATCTAGTGCCATCCTAGCACCTAACGTGATTACATAACTCTTTTTCTCCTTTTCGCAGCCGGTGTGCGGGGCATGTGGAAGCATGCACAGCGTGAGGGGCAAAGTCCCCATAAACTTCGCGCCAGCAGATCCAGGGACCACAGCTGACCACCTGAAGAATTTTATAGGCAAAAAGCCACATGCAGTACGAGTCCATACTGGACTAAAGGCTAAACAAAAAAAAAGCATGCCCTCTCCCCACGCTGGAGCTTGATACTCCCCTACCTCCCAGGCTTACAGCCAGCGGACAGGATAAGGGACGGGGTTGATTCGAAGGAGTTGCAGGCTGCTGCTCTACCTCCCTGGGGAACGTGGCTAAGGCGGGCGGCGAAGGGCCCGGACCTCGGCCCTCCCGTGAGAAACTCAGGGAACTTTGTCCCGGGGCGGCTGAAGGGCTCCGGGTTTCCCCCCGGCCGCCGGCGGGACGCGCACGTCGGGGTTGCAGCCCGTCCTGCCGGCCCCGGCGAGCCTCACCTTGTTAGCACGGGGGGCCGCCAATGTTCGCCTCGGTTTAGACAGGGCAGGTTCGAAGTCCGGAAGAGCTACCTTCCGCTCACGGAAAATATTGACCAGCAGTCAAAAGAGCCAGAGCGAAGAGGTGAATGACAGGTCCGGGGGAGGGGGGCAAGAGAGGAGCCCCTTGCCCCTGTACACGCCGGCCCCCTCCGCCCCGCTCCCTCCGGCCCCTCTCCCGTTCGCTCATGAGCCCTGGAGTTCCAGCTGCAGGGAGCGGCGTGGTCCGGACAACACATCCTGCCCCCAGATCCAAACAAAAAGTATAAAAATATTATCCCATATCGCCCTTCCTTTTCCTCCACATACCCACGCATTTTACCTGTTTTTATGTCGGGTTTTTAATAAATTCCTTCCAAAAGGAGCCATGATCCCAGCGGCATAACATCAGCGATTCCCAAACAATTCGAGGGTGTTCCCTTCTCCCCTAATTTTTTTTTCCCTGAGCTCCTTCCAGCTTGTTAATAGTCACCGAGCGTAGCGATGAGCTGGAAGTTGTGCAATTTACTGCTAACTTTGAACTCCAGCTTGTTGCTGCTGCTGCTGCTGCACCTTTGGAGTCCTGCCCAGCTGCGAACTTGAAGGAGGTGTTTAGGAGCCGGAAAAAGAAAGGGGAGGGGGAGAATACGCACTTGCTCTTGTGATGTGAAGTTATGCACAGAACTTGCTAAACTTTCAGGCTTGTCACCCTCAGGGCAGCAGGCAGCAAATGGGAAAGAAGGGGTTTTGCTCCTGTGGAACTCTGTAAAGACACACACGCACACAAAAGCACTGAAAACTTTCCCTGGGAGGCTCCAGCCACTTCAGGTCAAGTCGTTCAGCTTAAACACACGCGTTAATGAAGGGGAAGCAATAGTTGCCACACCAGTTCCCAGTGCATAATAATCTGCCTTTTCAGTACCTCGGTACTTTTTTACAAGGTGTTGGACGAGTAAGGGGAAGATGAAGGGAAAAAGAGCTCTGTGGCCCCTCTGCTGTCTCTGGGCTTTAAAGTAAATAAGCCATTTGCATGAAAGCTTTTGCAGACTGAATCCACCTTTGAAAAAGTCTAAAGTGGGGCCTAGCAGAGAACAAGCAAGGCAGCAATACGACAGGCAGGGTTCCTACTGCACTGTCCGAGGACCTTTTTTGTTATTATTTTAAACTATCTTCACCAGAAGGAAAATGAACACACACCATGGTTCCTGTTAACTGGAACCCTCTGGGAACAACAGATTTGGAATAAAGAGAGCTTCAGAAGGATTTATTCCCCACCCCCGGCCTCCTCTAGTATGGAGCTGAGCAAGGGAAAAAAGCACCCATTGCTCCCCAAAGGCTGGTGCTGGTGTGTGAAGGTCCGAGGGCAGGTGGAAAATTCTCTGCACAGCCCTAGCTCATAGTAGCCCTCTACTAGCCCTTTCTGCACTTAATTTAACAGGTACATATTAGATTTTTTTTTTTTTTCCTCACAGGGCAAATTCTTTATGTGGCTGCCCAAAGGTGCAGCACAATAGAGAACTGTTTTATTAACCAAGGGTGATGATTAAATAGGAGCCTACCAGAGTAAGGGCTTATCTGGAAAAAAAAAGGCTTCTTCTTCTAAATTTCACCTTTCCTCCCTTATTCAAGATAGTCACAGCAACCTGAAGAAAACAAAGGAAAGGCCCATTCCATGGGTTACCTATTACTGGCAGCTCTAGGAATACCCCACATATTTTCAGTTCAGTCCCACGCCTCTAAATTCTCTGAGCTATAACTACAAAGAGAAGTTTGTAGCCTCTTAAAAGCCTTGTTTGTGTAATCATCCAAATAACACACAAAAAAAAGGGAAGCTGAAATGAAATAACAGATTTCTTGTCCTGCTGCCAGGGTAGATTTTAGGTAGTTTGATTTGGGCATTATGATTATAAGCACATATTAAGTCTTCAGACTTTCTTTTTACTTTGAATTAGGTTATATGCTACAAAGAGGAGATATTCTTATACCTAAAGGATCAGGAATTTTTTTGGGTCCCTAAGAGATGTTCAAGGCATATTTGGCATAAAAATCAAAACACTATAGAACCTCCTAGAGAATAATTAAAATTCAAGTAACTATTTATATTGGCAAAGTTAAAGTAAAATAGCTTTATCCATAAAATAATATTCAATTTTCTCATCATTAGGAAAATAAATGGGAACTTGCTGATATTTGTAGCTGGTTTTATTACTTCTGAATAGGCATCTCACAATTTTAATTTATTTAAAAATTAAAATACTATGTAAATTGTACCTCTTCCTCTAGCAAATGTAAATTACTGTTCAACTAAATATATGTAATGTGGGAACTGGGTCCCTCTACACAAGTAAATCAAAATGTTTGTTAAATTCATGTAGTTATGCAAAGAAATGTAGAAAAGACTGCAGCATAATAAGCAGATGTTTCCTCCACAAGAGAGGGAGAAGAAAAGGCTTTCAGTCTATGCACTTTTACAATTAGGCTAGCCCAAACCAGGAAGAAAGTACGTGAGTGTATGATAAAGTCTTACAGATTAATAAAGGTGAGAATCTTAAGAATCACAAACGTTGTGCTTTACTAAAAACAAAACCAAAGGATATTTAGCATACCAGAAAGAAGTGAAGACATGCTGTTTCACCTGATGTTCAATTAATCTGAGTGTATGGAAAAGTGTACTCAAAACCATAAAAATACATAGATGTTTTTCTTAGTAAGAGAAGGGACTTGACCTTCCATTCTCCATCACATAAACTAGTCTGTGAATAGAGTGGAAACTGCAGCACAACTTTGCAGAGGGACAAGTTAATTTTGTAGGCAGTGTTGACACAACAATTCAGTTAGCTTGTCCTTAAACTTCCAAAGTGCCTCTAACTATCTGTATCTGTATGTACACGTCCTTAGTTTTCTTTAAACTCCAGCTCTGATCTTCCAGGAATTTTGAGCCAACATTCCAGACCAGGGCCCTGGCACTTCCCAGCATGCCATAGGGGCATAAAAAGCAACCACCACTCAAATCTTGAGTATGATCACCTTCTAATCATTCTTTCTTCATGCAAAAATCTAAAAGGTGAATAGTTGGTAACATCAGATATTTCACCTACATACTGTGAAGCCCAGCCAAATAGTTCTGTCACAGTATCTTCCCTCTAGGATAAGTAATGAATCAGTGGCAGATAGTTTGGTTTGCAGAATGCAGTTTTTGAAAATATTCCATAAAATGTATATGTATGGAGCTAGTCTTTCTTCAGAAAGACATGTCCATGATTCACTCTGATTTAAAGGAGAAGGAAGGGGAATTATAAACACTAGAGCATCACTTGCCACCAACTTACCTAACAATAAATATGGATGCCAATCTTGGGTGCTTGATCAGAAAGCCTAAGGTTAATAAATTGCAATGTTTCATTTGCCATCTTCCAAAGAAGCTCATATTGAGTGTTTTACTCCTCTCTTTGATAAAAATACTGCAGCACAGCAATGTTTTAAACCCCAGCTTTAACCAAGTTTGGAACGCAGCTTTAATCATATTAGTCTGTGGGTATAGTTTCAAATTAACTTTTAAATGCAACAAAGAGGGGGTGGGCTACTGCTCCCCCCTTCCCTTTCTTATCTCTCTTACCCACCACTTAGTTTCAGTGCTTATCTTAAACAGTCTCTAGGATCTCATCTGATCTCCTTGTAAACTGGCATAACTTATTCAAATTCCAACCCAGCAAAAAAAGTTCGTTCTTTCTATTTTGGCTGATTGCTGAGATGAGTTGGCTTACCTCGAGATCAGAGAAGATCACTCAGACAGTGTGATTTCCAGAGCAGAATCAAGGGAGAAGAACTAAGAGAAAGAAGAGAGGACGCAAAAGAGAACTTGGAAGTAGTGATGGGGAGCAAGGCCTCCTTTGGCTGAGTGTCAGGGCAGCTTGGCAGTTTAACTTATTCCAAGAGTGGGTTTACAAGAAATGATTTAATCTAATCTAATGGCTTGCTGTCCTTAAAATTTGGGAGGTCCTACTCCTCTCACCAGCCACAGACTCCTGACCTTTTCCTTGTGCCAAGTATGGTTGTCAATAGGCTTTGTGCTTATACCATTCAACTTTTTAAATGGATGGAAAATGGACTTGAAACATGAAAGCGAATAGACAGCTTTTTGTGGGCTAGCTAGTTAAATTGGCTTATTGAGGTATCAGACAATTGGCAAGACTGGTATGTGAGGAGAGAAACAGGATCATGTGGCCAAGAATGTGGGCAGAGGGAGGAAGACGTCTTGTCTGAGCAGCCTTGAGCAGCTAGATTGGCTCAGCCATATTGTGTTACTTGGTTCTGGCTACAGCAATAGGTGGCTAAATGGAGACAGTAAAAGCTACCTTAGGAACAGGGCAATTTCTTGATTCCTTGCTCTATGAATAGGCTGCTGCAGATACCTTGACTCCCTCATTTTAAACTACCATAAAGACTTATGGCTGCTTAAGTACAGCCAAATGTATGAATAAAAGACACTAGACTAGATGACCCAGTAGAGTAAGAGGGAAAGGTCAGTGTTAGGATTATAACTCACTGACAGGCAGGAAAGTGGGTGATGCATTTTCAGCGAACTTGTGGATCTGTCCTGCTCAATTTAATTGAGATTTGCAGAATGAACTCAGAAGACTAGGAGCTGATTATAATATGGCAGGTGAAGGTAATGTTGACGAGTGCAGAGTAATATACTGAGAAGAAAATCTAAACAAACCATTAAAGTGTCACATCTTGGAAATGTAATTTATTTGGGTCAGTTGATGGGAAGCCTTAGATCAATGTTCTATACTGTTAAAACTAAAACTAAATCCAAACAAAAAAGAGAGTTAACAATTAATGAGAAAGGAATGCAGAAGGAATTAGAAAAGCTTGTTATGCCACTGTAAACTTTCATTCTGAGTCTACATTTTGAATATCGCAGCCTATCTGAAGAAGGATATGAAGTAAATGGCAGCAGGAGAGTTTTAACATAAAATATACTTTAATACATGAGGAGAAATTAAGTAGAGAGATGAGACCCTTGAATCTAAAGAAAAGTGAATATCTGATTAATTTAAGAGAGCTCTATGATAATCTACATCATAGAGAAACTAAACAGGAAACAGCTATTGCTCACAATATAAATATAAGGGCCTGCTGAAAAAAATAATCAGACAGCAAAGTTAAAACAAATACAAATAAAAAGATTGTACTTGTAAGCAAATGACAGAACTGCCCTCTGAGTGCAAATGTTGGGAAGAACAAAAGTAAGAATAGTTAGAAAGAGAGATGAGGCAAAACCATGGAGCTTAAGGCCACCAGAGGTTAGAAAAATCACTGGATTCTTGTGTTTTTGGTCCAGCGGTTTCTCAAATTTCTTTTTCATTTCCCTTTCTTTCCCGACAGGTGACTAGCTACTGGCATAGCCCAAAACACAGTAAACCTCACAGGTTACTTTTGACTTGCAGATTGGTTCAAATGTACCATCACCATGGCTGCTGTGCCCTCTTGTATAGGACTTCCATGTAAGGATTTTCCTACACTTTAATACAGCAGTGATCAAAACAGTCATCTTGACTCCATGTA